GAGGGAAAGCAACTGCCTGCAGCCAGCCAAAGTCAACACTCCCCTGGGCAGCAACAAGCAGTCTGGCCTGACAGGCCCGGCACAAGTGAACCCAAACCTCTGAAAAGAATTCCTTCCCTGCCCCAAAATTAAAAGCAGAGCAGAGCTTTCAGCCGTAGGCGTCTGTGGTTTGCAGCTATGCAGTGCTGGGAACTCCGGAGACTTCCTCAAGGAATTTACATTCCTTTGAAGAAATACTATGAGGCTGTTTGTCTTTGCTGAAAAATGCAGATGGAAAGAAAAAGAACATTAAAAATTTTGATTGAAATCTTTGGGGTCTGAGCAAATGTGCTGGACAGGTGTTTTCTTCCTTTTGATTTAAATGCATCCCCCAAAAAAAGAGGACTTGCTGGTCTGTGTGAGCAGTGGGAAAGCTGCTCGCTCCTCGCTCCAAAATCGCCCATAAAAGCCCTTTATGAAATCGAACGCCTCAGAAGGCGCTGGAGCAGTTTCCAGATGAACGCGATCATTATTTCAGAGCTGCCGTGGAGCTCCTGGGCTAAAAACCACGCTGCCAATAACAGAGTTAGTGCAGCTTTGGAGTGGGGGGAACCAGTAGCCACCTCTGAAGGCTGCGGGTGTCCCCACAGCTGCTCCCGTGGCGATCGGGGTCCAAGGGCCGCCGGTGCTGGAAATCTTGCTGCTCTTTACTTACTACCAAAAACCTCCAGTGCTGGCCTGGATCGACACAATTTTTTGTGCCCTCCCAGGCTCTCGTTGCTCGGCTCTGCAGGTGAAACGGAGAGGGCTGAGCAGCCAACGGGGCTCTGCAGCCCACACCAGGCTCAGACCCGAGGATCTCCCACAGCGCCAGCATCCAGAGCTGAAAATTCTCCTGCTAGGATGAAAAGGAAGCGTTTAACCACAATTTTAATGACTCGGTAACTAAAACAGTATTGAGAGCCGCTGTATACAGGGGCCCTGCTCTCAGAAAGCCCGTCTATTTTTAAGCCACTCAAACCGTACCGATCTGTGCAATCCCTGATGGCATTGGAAACCTTTTCCTGTTTGTCCACGTTATTTACTTTTGAGCTGCCCGTGCAGAGCCAGGACGGAGCAGACACGAGGATCTTATCGAGATCCTCCTTCCATCAAGGACTTTCCACTGGGGCTGGGCACACTCAGCTTAATCAGCAACCCAACCACAGGAACACGGACGTGGTGCGGGGCCGTCGCCGTGGGAGGGGGAAGCAAATCGGCGGGATCCCGTATTATTTGGTAACGATGGGAAATCGTTTCCAAACGATGGGAAATGCCAGGCTGCTCTCCATGGTGCAAACCATGAACCCACTGGGCATGGGAGCCCCTACCCCGTGGTGGGACTGACAGGAGCTGCTCGAGTGGTTCGGCTGCAGGGATGGACACTGAGAGCATGGTGTGGAAGTTCCTGCACTTGGATGGGATCTTACACTCGTGAACTGCGAGCTGAGGCTTTTCCAGGACGCTGGGAAGCTCCAAAGGCCGATTTTCCCTTCCCTGTAGGATCCAGACCCTGATGGCACCACCACAACCCAAGGACCTGAGCTCAAGGAAACCTCGATCCTGGTGTCCCCGCATCCCAGCGAGGCGAGGGCGCAGCGAGCATCCCCTGCCCCGCTCCCCGCTGGGACCCCTGGGACCCTGAGCAGGTTCAGGACCAGCGGAGCTGCTTTGAGACAAGGGAGCGGGCACAGGCTTTAACCGCGAAATTTTGGGTGACGGCAGCAGGCGTAAGCAGCCCCAGTGGAGCAGGCGCGCAGAGGAACGCCCTCTGCCAAAGCCTTTTCTGACGCAGCCCAAAGCCAAACGCCGCAGCTCATTTTCCTACGCGCAGCAGAGCCGGGCCCTGACGCTGCTGAACAGCATCCACGGCTGCCGCCCGCCCAGCGCCAAGAAAAGGCTGGCGGGTACTTGGACACGGCCACTGGGACGCTCGCAGCCATGGCTGTAAATGTGGTGAAAGAAACCAACACCCGCGTCACCCGGCGGGGGCTGCTCCTACCCAAGGGCGGAGGGGGCAGAGCAAAGCAAATGAGGCATTAATTCTCCAAGCGAAAGCAACTCCTCCAATGTTGTATGGGGGAAAAAAAGGCGCTACCTCTTAATGAATTTCAAAGGGAAAACGAGGATCTCTCGGAAATCTCCCCAGCAGTTCAAGGCTCCAGAAGTGATCCGATTATCTCGGGGCACAAGGTCAGCTGTGCTGAACCCCCCGCAT